TAACCGAATTAAAGTATATAAGAAAATATATAACACTGGACAAATTTTCCTAAATAAGACTAAAATAAGGGCAAAATTCATAAATAGAACTATTATTATTTTATTATCAAACTATGACTTATCATACGAGTATTAAGAAAAACTATGACTCATTCAATAAACAAGTCATATTGGTCCATGTTTCATATTCTGAGCAACTTTTTATGATTAACAACGACGTTCAAGGAACCTCTTTATATGCTTTTTTGTTGAAGTTTGAATCAGATAGCCTAATAAACAATTTGAAGTAATTTTTCTAAGTAGCATTGCAAGTGACAAAAAGGAGTGCATATTTTAAATTCTTAAATCGTGAGTTTGAATACATTTCCCCCCTTATTTGGTTTTAAGGCTAGGGTTTAGGACCTTTAGGTTAGCTTATCAGATCAGTCCTTAGCTTTTAGGGTTTAGGCGAGTTGACGTTTATCAGCCAGAATGTTAGGGTGGCTGCCCAAAGGAACTGCCGCTGCCGGTGGCTGTCAGGCAGTGAGGGGGTGGGTTGGCGGTTGCTTTCTCAAGGTGGGAGCTGTATTGGACATATATCCTTTTTTTTAAGTAAAAGGACATATATCCTTGTTGATCCACTGCCATCTGTTTAGTCTTATTCTGAATATTTAAAAGATACACTCTTTGTCCCATAAAATAGTTCTCGCATTGACTGGAATCGTAGTTTAAGAAAGTGGAAATAAAGTGGAAATGTATGATTGTAGTTGAGTAAGAAAAAAGATAAATGAACGTGAGCCACACAAAATTTTCCAAAAAGGGAAATATGAACTATTTTTTGAGACGATCCAAAAAAGAAACCGGATACTATTTTGCAGGATGGAAGAAGTATACACTACTCTTATTTTGTAGATTTTCATTGTTTTACTACTTTTGAAATTAATAAATTAAAATTTATTTTTCCTAAATTCAGAAATACGCAGTTAAAAAGAAACTAATGAAATTGCTCTTACATTATACAAAAATTTAGGAGTAGTTTGAGTTTGCACCTCATATTATTGTTCAAATTGGACTTTGCACTCAATTTTTAGGAAACTTTGTTTTTGCACCCCAAGGCAACATATTTGTTAATGGATGGCATTTTTGTCTTTTTACATGAGATTAGGGTGCAAAAACAAAGATTTTTAGAAACGGGGTGCAAAGTCCAATTTGAAAAATAAAATGGGGTGCAAAATCAAATTATCCCAAAAATTTACTGACTAAAATATTTACTTCTTTTATAATATGACTTACAGCATGTTTTTTCAAATGTTATACGAGTATTATAGTCATCCATGCTAGCCGTAGCCACTACGTATTTTGTTAACCACACCAGTAAAAAATGTCATTTTTATCCATTTCATCCTTGCATTTTGAATAAAAGCTACTCCCTCCGTCCCATAATTATCTTCATTCTTTCCTTTTTGGTCCGTCCCAAATTTATCTCCTCTTTCCCTTTTTAGCAAAGGATTTGTGGTTCACAATCATTCTTACACATTTCTCTCTTCTCTCCACAACTCTCCACCACACATTTCCCACTTTCTTAATCTCCGTGTCCAGTCAAAACCGAAGTTAATTCTGGGACGGAGGGAGTATTTATTTATAAATAAAATAGGAATGTTTTTACTTATGTTTTCTATCATAAGCCAGATCAAATCACATAGTCACCAGATCAGACCAAACTTAAAAAGAAATAATTACCTCACGTATGACTAAAACTCAATGAGTTTTCCAATCTATGACCTAACTAGTTTTTTCCTCAAAATAATATTAAAATTCATAATATTTAATTAAAATTCGTAATAAATAAAAAAAAAAATTTTTATGGACAAATATACCCTTTAGCTTATACATATAAAGCCCTAACCTCCTACCCCTTTCTCCAAAACCTAGCCTTCTCCCACCGTCCAAGATGCATCGGCCGCAAGGCTGCTTCTTGCAGCCCACCCCAAGGCAGCCTCCTACGGCCCGCCGCCTACTGCCGCTGTCCCCCGCCGTACTGTTGTACAAATCGATTGGGCTATAAGAGCACAGAGTGTCAGAGCACATCGGTTCGCGCATCGATTGAGAAAGACGAGCAGAGAGACGATGGAAGATGACGGCTGTCCAAACTACTCCGCTGGCGCTTATGCTCTTGTACGGCACAGGGACGAGCATAGATGACGAAAGAGACTGGAATAGACTATGGAAGATGACGAGCATAGATGACGGCCGCCCAAGCTACTCTTGTATGGCGCTTCTATGCCAAGAAGAGGATAGAAACGGCGGAATTAAGATGGCGGCTGCTGATGTGGTCGCCCCTGCAGATCTATTTTCAATGTCTCGTATCTCTCAATTTGATGAGAGAATGGAGGCCACCTAAACCAATGTTTCGTTAATGGTTTGTGGGCTTCGTTGAATAGCTTCTTTTTCTGGTTCACATGCTAATTATGTTTCTGGGCATTAAATATGAGCAGTGAATATAGCAATATATATGTAGTACTCCGTACGTGGCAATAAATGAATGCATTAAGGAAGTTTGTTGTCCAGTGATTATGACCAGTATTGCAGTAACACAAAGCAGTGATATCATCATGAAATGCAAATTTTGTGCATAAGAAGAGAATTATTTTTAGGGTATCTACTTAATTAATGATAAAATTATTAATTTTTTTTAAAAAATCCTCAATTGAATAAGAATAGAATTATTTTTAGGGTAAGTGCAGTGATTATTACCGGATGTGCAGTAAAGTCATGCATTAATTTTGTGCATTAACGACAATATAAAATGCAATAGTTTTAATTGGACAAAATTAGTGCAAAATGCACATATTTTAAATAAGGGTATTTGTGTCATTCCACATTTAAATATAAACGAATTTTCTATTTGTTTTTGGATTTTTGGTCATACTAAAGTATAAAAACTAGTTAGGTCATAGATTGAGAAACTCATTGAGTTTTCCCAACTTAAAAAACCTAGATCAAATCAAACTAGACTAGCTAGACCGAATACACCAGAAAATTTAATCTAATTAAGGACTTCTATTCTAACCTTCCTTCAAAAAGAACTTTTATTCTCAATTTACGGTCTTATCTATACATGTTTTAACAAATGAGTAACTTTTAATTTCGCCCACTTAATTTGCTGAATGTGATAATTAAGACTATTTTATCAGGCAAGTACATTGTGATCTACATCACTATGACACTCCTAAGAAGGAGGTCACATGTTTGAATCTCATCCCAATTCAAGCATGTTGACCTTAACAGAACAGATATTATAATAGGTTAGAAAGATTTACCAAAAAAATGACTATTTTAACAATTTTCCATATTATGATTTCTCTATTTCATTATTAAAATAATTTTTAAATATAATATTTTCATAATTCAACATATTCATTCATTTAACCGCTTCAATTTCACCGGAATCAATTAGTCATCCAATTTAAATGTTACCATAGCCCTAGTTTTCGCTCCATGTGTGAGTTATACGTTTTCTTCGTTTTTTAAGGCAGTGAGGGTGTTAATGTCATTTCAACAAAGTGTTGTCGACGTGTATATTTAGTTGGGTACCTTCAGCGTTAGCCAGCTCAGCATCGACGTGAGACGGAAGGACCTTATTGTCCCTGTAATGATAATAACTCTCCGATTCGTTAGTCGTCACTATTATCCTCTTCAGCCACTTCACCATCCTGCCGCCGATGAACCCCGGAATTATCATCCTCACCGGAAACCCATGGTCCGGCGTCAACCTCTCTCCGTTTTGCATGTACGCCAGTACGATGTCTCTAGAAGGGTCCATCGCTATTTCCCTCCTAATGCTCGTCCCGTACTTCGACCCTCCGCCGCCGCCGGGCAGATCCTCTGCCCCTTCGAAGCACACATTCAGGCCGCCGTTCCTCCGGCTGAGCACGCCGCAGCGCTTGAGGACGGAAACCAGCGGAACCCCCCGCCAGACGGAGGTGGAGACGGCGGCGGCGCCCCAGTTAAACCCGTTCGTCTTCCTGACCATGTTCTGTTCTTTCCGGCGGTTTCCGGCGCAGACCAGGGTGGCGGGAAACTCGCGGGATGGGAATTCGTTGACGAGTTGGGCCATAGTGAACTTCGTGGGCCGCTTCACGAGGCCCGTTACCTCGACGGCCCAGTCTTCCCACGTGCCGGTGGGGACCGCGCCGTGATTCCGGACGTAGTGGAGGGGAACCGGGGTTATGAAACCGTGGCGCATTAGCCGGTCCAGGGGCGGTTCGGAGTTAAACGGGTGCTTCCCGGTCAACCGGATCAGGGACGGGTTACGCGGGATCCAACGGTCGGAAGTATCGGCGTCTCTGATGTCATGAACCGACGGCTCTAATTCCGCGGAATAGTCGGCGTTGGGAGGTTTTTCGTTACAGCAATCGCCGTCGCTGTCGGCGGAATAATAATTACCGGAAACTACGTCGGCGCCGCCGTTAGGTGGCGGGAGGTCAGGATTGGCGGGGAAATTGCAACCTCGGATCGGGGAGTTGCAAACATTTTGTAGGACAGGCTCGAAGCGGCTGAAGCGGGGGTTTTGGACGGAAGCCGCCATGGTTGGATGACGGTGGTTAAAAGGCGGAGGCCGCAGAAAAAAGGGTACAGAAGAAGAGAGGCTTTTGACCTCTCCGAGATTGAAACAACACTTCGATATGATGTCGCTTCTCTAGTATCCGAGTATGAGCTTTTTTATAACAATTGATGTAAAATTTGAGTATAGTTATACACACCAAAAGTTTTGTTTGCTGCTTAATTCATAGAATTAACATTCAGCAGGGTACGAAAGCAAAAAAGAACCACATGTAACCATCCGCTCGTGGTCGAGATTGAGAATTAACCACCTGTAACAAAGCAGTATAACTCATTACACCAAAATTGGGCAAATTAAAGCCAATGACAGTTAACGCAAACTTTCCATCTCCTAAACTTTATGCAAGTGTCTTACAAGAATTAAAAACACAAATGGGAAGCAGAACATAGCATCCGAAATAAAAACAAACAAAACAGACAAAAAAGATAACACCATCACTTGTCTTCTGCACCATCACCACCATATGGAACCTCGGCGGGTCTAAGAGATTTGACCCGCCGCCTCCCCATTTTTTGGCCTATCCAAGGCCATTGCTTCACCAGTGGTACCCTATATGGCATGATTCTCCCATATCCTTCTGCGCTTTGTGTCTCCAAGAGTCTCTTCTTTGTCTTCTGTCTCATGTTGTGATGGCCTGCTATCCTTGGATTCAGCCGAAAACTCTCCCCCGAGATCAGCCTTCCGCTGAACACCATATCCACCTGAGCTCAAGGCTACATCAGATAACCCCTTGTTGGGTCTTGGGGGCTTATCTTCACCCTCCCTCCTGCTCTAAGTTTCACCCCATAGGTTTTCTCAGCTACAAATCCCTCTTCATACTTCAATAGACAGAATTTATCAAAATGTCCGATTATAACACACATAAAACAAAAGTTGGGTAGCTTTTCATATTTAAAATCCACTGAATGTTTCACCCCATCTCTTGTCAAAGTGGTACCTTTTTTCAGAGGCTGACGAACATCCAGACACACTCTTATACACAAATAAGAACTCTGCTTTCCATCAAACTGGCTCATCTCAAATTTAATAAAGGAGCCTAAAAACTTACCAATTTTTCTGGTAGATTTCAAATTTCTAAACTTTATAGATGCATTATGAACCTGTACCCCAGAAACTAGCTTCAAATAAATTCATCGATTCAGGTATATCATCTGGTTAACATGCTTTTAACAATATTAACTCACGCTAAAAAAGCCAAGGGTCATCCTCAATCACACGATTCATATCCAAAACATGATTAAAGTTTAGCAGATACCCTCGTTCGCCGATTTCTTCGATAGACATACCTTTCACTGGTCTCTAGAGAGAAGTCATCGGCTCTTGAAAGTCCGGTAATTTGACCTTGCGTTTCTTCTCCTCCACCCAACCACCACCCCAACCACCGGAAAGCTCATCGGTTCCTTCTCCTCCTCCTCGTTCTCTTCCTCTTCTTCATCGAAATTTAGCTCGTTCTCCTGTTCCTCCATTGACATCTTCTTGTACGAGTTGACCATATCATCCATGAATCCAGATAATCGGATTGATTCCTCTACTCTGACCTGGCGACCTGAATTTACTCTACCTGCACCTTCTTCTTCGGCGAAGAAGAACTACCGATCTTCGTTGAGGCAACAAAATCGGAAAAAAAAACCTAGCGGACGAGCCCTGGAGAGAAATAATAATACACACCAAAAGTTATTATATCACATTTTACTCACTAGTTTTGTTTTGGTTATTTTGGAACTTTTTGTTGTTAGATTGATGACATGAAAAGATATTGGCACGTATTCAATTAATTCTGTTAAAAAAAAAAAAACATCTCCGAAAGAATTTGTAATTGACAACATTTCTTCACTCTTACACATTTCTCTCTTCTCTATAGGACTGTCTACAACATAGTTCTCACTTCTCACATTCTCAATCTCCGTGTAAAACCATATTCGAAAGATAATTTAGGGACAAGGGTAGTACTTCCTACTTCATGCCGTTATGATATCGTTCCTGCTGGACTGAAATTGGAATTCTAGAAAGATATTATTAGATTGAAAATTGATATAATTTCGGCCTAGGATCGGACGCGATCAGATCGGATTATTTCATGTTTGACCTGATTGGTATTAGACTGTATTAGGGTTTTTTTATTAAAAAAAAATATATTTTTGAAAATCTTTCTTGAATAAACATTCAATTACATTAGTTTTTCATATTTGTTAGATAATAATACATTTTAGATATAAAAATATATTTAAAAATTAACTACAGTCTAATCGATGCGGACATAAATATTCAATATATGAACTGGATAGGATCACAATTAAAAATTGGCTAAAGGGTCAAATAGGCCCTTGAACTAACTTAAAGTGTTCAATTAGCCCCTTATATAGGAGTGTTGGGATATATTATCCCGGCCTATTACTGTTCAGGAGCCCAAGACATTATCCAGTACGGAGCCCGAGCAGCTAGGCCCATTTCGGCCCATCCGGCCCACTTTGACCACCAGGCCCACTTCGGCCCAGGCGGCCCATTAGGGTGGAGAGCCTCCCCTTCCCCTCCCCTATAAATACGGAGCTTAGCCTCCATGTAAAGGATCTCTTTCCTTCTTCCCCAACTCATTTACTTTCTCTAGAATAGCTTGCAAGACTCCATAAAAGGGAGCTCAAATTGTACTATGTAATGGTGAGGAGAGTCCTAATGAGAATTGAGAGGGCTTGGACATTAGCCTAAAAAGTCCCGTGGTTTTCTCCCTTTCGGGTTTCCACGTAAAAACTGAGTTGTTCATACACATTTATACATATATTTACTATATCGTGTTGGATTAAACTCAACACTGGCGCCGTCTGTGGGAATCTGTCCAAAAAGATTACATGTGTTCTTCAGTTGTTCTGCAAAGATTCATACGAAATGGACTGATTTCAACAAGAACAAAGAAAAACTATTCTGGGAAGCAAGCAGGAGGAAGGAGAATCGGTGAAAGGGAGTAGGAAGAAAAAGAAAATTTTGGGGAAAAGGAAGGTGAGAAAAATCCGGATCTGGAATTTGGTAGACCATGGCCGTAATACCACTGTTGTGCTCCACCAAGAGGTTGCTAACCGTAATACGTGAAACTTGCCTAGCTTATCCGGCCATCGCCATCGCTAGCAGCAACGTTCTCCGCCTCTGTCGCGGTGCGCTCGCCGGCCCCTGCTCCTCCTGGCTTCACGAACCTCATAGAAGGTCCGCCATTAATGGCGACCGAGGGCTTCAAGAGTGACAACCGCAACCAGCACAAGCCGTGGCTGGAGGAAGTCTCGCCGGTGATGTCGAAGTCCTAACTAGCGGCCACAGAGTCGGACTTTGTCACTCCGCCTCTGATGCCGCCCGAGGCAGCTTTCCTGGCCATCACCGGCCGCCGCTGCGTCGCGCACGGGAGGAGCTGCTAGAATGCCAGCTTGCGGATGGGAGCAGCGAACCATTGAGGACCAAGTAGGAGCAGACGCACAGTGGCCTATGGCTGAGGTCTTGGTTGCAGGACGAAATTGCCAGCTTGCTGATGGGAGAGTTGACTCTGGCTAGCTACCACTTGCCCACTACGAATGAAGTGCAGCAAAGCTAAGTACTCCCATATTCCTAACTTGGCACATTTGATTATTAATACGGAGTACGAAGTAGTTTAAAATATTAGCGTTGCTATTATTTATCATCACTATTACTTATTAGGGATTAAAATATCCCGAAATTAAATAATGTCGAGCCAAGCTCGAAGTGATAATTATTTTCACCGTCATTTGAAATTAAATGATCGGTTGTTGTGGGCCCGTTAGCCCGCTCCTGATCGGCTTTAATTAGCGGGCAGAGCATACCGGAATGGCCTTTGGTAGGATAATACTATTATTACTACCCGTACATCACTATTATTTATTAGGGATAAAAATGTCCCGAATTAAATGATGCGGAGTGAAGCTCTAGTGATAGTTAGTTCGGCCAACATTTTATTAAATGTTTAATTGTTTGTGGGGCCGTTGGCCCACTCTCGATCAGCTTTGATTAAGTGATCCGAGCGTCTCCAAAAGGGCGATGCCCCGACGACGCATTTTAATTTGAGGGTTGCACGTTAGTCCGCACGGCACTACGTGCCCGATCGACGATCGTACCCCAATATCATCTACGCCACTAGGCGCGAAGTGACTATTGCCCGACGCGACCAGTAGGGCCCCGAGGGCACCAAGGCGCACGGCCTCGTGTTTCCGAGGGCGATGTGACCAACTTGGGTCTGAGTTTGAAAACTCACTGACCGATGAATATTTTTATGTGACGTTTGGCGGGCTGCTAATTGGCCCTGCCGCGAGCTGCTACGTCCATTAACCCCGCACGATGAGCCGGGCCGAGGGTCACGAAGACCCATAGGCCGGAAATCGTGGGTGTTAGAGAGAAAGCCATACGACTGGCTATGTGTGCATATTTATTGTCGGGCCGTGCGGCCCGTTACCATGCTTATTGCGCAGATCAAGCCGCTCGACGCGCTCGAGCGAAATGATTAAAAGACGATCGGCCCGAGTCTTGAAGACGTTCAGGGCCAGCTAAAGAGGAGACCATCACGGCTGAGGACCGTGAGACGAGCATCTCCACCCCAGAGACCGATGGCCTAGGAGAGAACACCTAGAGGCCGAGGGTCTATAGTGGACTACCACGGCGGAGGACCGTGAGACGAGCATCTCCACCCCAGAGACCGATGGCCTAGGAGAGAACACCTAGAGGCCGAGGACTATAGTGGACTACCACGGCGGAGGACCGTGAGACGATCATCCATCATTCAGAGGTCGAGGGCCTAGAGGAGACCATCACGGCCGAGGGCCGTGAGACCATCCTGATTTTCAGGTCGGCCTCTCATCGCCGACATTATCATACCACGACCGGCCCCTCGGCTTGGCGTGTTCATCTTTTGAAGACCGACCTCGTCCCCGCACTGCGCCGATGAGAGCCGTTGCTGGATTGCAGGTCGACCCTCATTGCCGACACTGCCACATCATGTTCGGCCTCTCATCGCCGACATCATTATATCACAACCGGCCTCTCGGACCGGCGTGATTACCATATTCGAAGACCGGCCTCGTCCCCGCCACCTCGCGGACGAGGACCGTTGCTTGACCATATCTTGACCGGCATCTCATTGCCGACATTATCATACCACGACCGGCCCCTCGGCTCGGCGTGTTCATATTTGAAGACCGGCCTCGTCCCCGCACTGCGCGGATAAGGACCGTTGCTTGTTTTCTCAGATCGGCCTCTCATTGCCGATATCGTCATATCACGACCGGCCTCTCGGCTCGGCGTGTTTATCTTTTGAAGACCGGCCTCGTCCCCGCTCTCGCGGACGAGGGCCGTTGCTTGATTTTCTCGGGTCGGCCTCTCACTGCCGACACTATCATGTTATGTTCGGCCTCTCGGCACGACATATTTATCTTTTGAAGACCGGTTTCATCCCCGCGCTGCGTGGGATGAGAGCCGTTGCTCGGATATATCGGCCTGACTGGACACTATTGCCATCTCCATTATCAGGACCGACTGCTCAGCGATATTATGATCATTGTATATCGGCTCCCAATGCCGACCTTCTTGAGTTAGCGATCGGGCTCACCCCTCCCCTCCAGGAGGGTGACCATCGCCTTCGCATGACGACCAGCTATTCCGTCGCCTCGTCATTTTATTCGTTTTGGTATGCCACCACCATTATGTGTGACATCCCGTGATCCCTGCGAGTTTCTTGGATACCGAATGTCTTCTTCGATGTAGGAAGATCGGTAGGACCACGGACCAGGGACGGACGAACGAAGCACCAGGGAATCTCGATGCAGATAAACCTGTTCCTCCTTGCGATGTCTGCGGATACCGAACGTCTCCTCGAAGTAAGGACGCCGGTAGGACCAAGGACCAGGGACGAACGAAGCACCAGGGAATCTCGATGCAGATAAACCTGTTCCTCCTTGCGATGTCTGCGGATACCGAACGTCTCCTCGAAGTAAGGACGCCGGTAGGACCAAGGACCAGGGACGAACGAAGCACCAGGGAATCTCGATGCAGATAAACTTGTTCCTCATTGAGATGTCCGCGTATACCGAACGTCTCCTCGAAGTAGGAACGCCGGTAGGACCAAGGACCAATGACGAACGAAGAGTATAGATTGCCTCCCTCAAAAAAAAAAAAAAAAAAAAAAAAAAAAAAGAAGATGGGGAGAAGAGGAGGGTAGCTCCTATGTGGAAGGGAATCTTGCCCGGGTGTGCCAGATCTTCTCCCACCGCCGAAGGCGAACGCCTCTCGATGTAGAGGTTAGTAGAGACGCGGAGGGGGCTAGACGAACCAAGGGAGCCTTGCCAAGATAAACCTGTTCATCCCACAATGACCATGGATCGATGGACGTGGGATAACAAAGACGGGAACCCGTGAGGGTAAACCAGTTCGTCCCTGCGAGTTCCTTGGGTACCGAACGTCTTCTTCGATGCAAGAGACGCCGGTAAGACTAAAAGGACCAGGGACGAACGAAAAAGGGGGAATCTCGATGTAGATATACCTGTTCCTCATTGCGATGTCCGCGGATACCGAACGTCTCTTCGATGTAAGAACGCCGGTAGGACCAAGGACCAATGACGAACGAAGACTAAAAGACTCCAAAAAAAAAAAAAAAAAAAAAAAAAAAAAAAAAGATGCCAGAAGAGCACGGAGCAAAGAATGATTTTATCCCTTGGCACTATTGGCTGTGAAGTACAAACTGAAAAACGTATGTAAAGAATAATTACAAGACTTAAGTACGAAGAATGAAGTGGCCGACGACGATCGGCTAACATCAGGTTTTCTTTTGCCTCGAACGACGATTAGCTCCCCAGATCAGGTAGAAGGGACATCGCCCAGATTTATTTCAGGCTCACCATTCCTTCCCGGATGGAGTCCTGGCAGACGATCGGCTTCTCACAGCTAATCAGGAGAGAGACTTGACACATCACCAGCACGGCCGAGGGCCGTGGGACGATTACCACTCACCGACAGGCCGAGGGCCATGAGATGATCATCACTATTTTTCTGTATCACGATCGGCCCCTCAGTGCCATCGTGTCTCTTTCACGTTCGGATCGCCCCATTCCCTCCAGGATGGCGACGAACGTCTTATGCGGTACGATCGGCCCCTCAGCGCCATCATACCTAGATTCACGGCTCGGCTCGCCCATTCCCTCCAGGATGGCGACGACCGTCTTATGCAGCACGATCGGCTTCTCAGTGCCATCGTGTCTCTTTCACGTTCGGATCGCCCCATTTCCCTCCAGGATGGCGACGAACGTCTTATGCGGTACGATCGGCCCCTCAGCGCCATCGTACCTAGATTCACGGTTCGGCTCGCCCATTCCCTCCAGGATGGCGACGACCGTCTTATGCAGCACGGTCGGCTTCTCAGCGCCATCGTATCTCTTTCACGTTCGGATCGCCCCATTCCCTCCAGGATGGCGACGAACGCCTTATGCAGTGCGATCGGCCCTTCAGCGCCATCGTACCTGGCTTCACGGTTCGGCTCGCCCTTTCCCTTCAGGATGGCGACGACCGTCCTATGCAGTGCGATCGGCTTCTCAGCGCCATCGTATCTCTTTCACGTTCGGATCGCCCCATTCCCTCCAGGATGGCGACGAACGTCTTATGCAGTGCGATCGGCCCTTCAGCGCCATCGTACCTGGCTTCACGGTTCGGCTCGCCCATTCCCTCCAGGATGGCGACGACCGTCTTATGCAGCACGATCGGCTTCTCAGTGCCATCGTGTCTCTTTCACGTTCGGATCGCCCCATTCCCTCCAGGATGGCGACGAACGTCTTATGCGGTACGATCGGCCCCTCAGCGCCATCATACCTAGATTCACGGCTCGGCTCGCCCATTCCCTCCAGGATGGCGACGACCGTCTTATGCAGCACGATCGGCTTCTCAGTGCCATCGTGTCTCTTTCACGTTCGGATCGCCCCATTTCCCTCCAGGATGGCGACGAACGTCTTATGCGGTACGATCGGCCCCTCAGCGCCATCATACCTAGATTCACGGCTCGGCTCGCCCATTCCCTCCAGGATGGCGACGACCGTCTTATGCAGCACGATCGGCTTCTCAGTGCCATCGTGTCTCTTTCACGTTCGGATCGCCCCATTTCCCTCCAGGATGGCGACGAACGTCTTATGCAGTGCGATCGGCCCTTCAGCGCCATCGTACCTGGCTTCACGGTTCGGCTCGCCCATTCCCTTCAGGATGGCGACGACCGTCCTATGCAGCACGATCGGCTTCTCAGCGCCATCGTGTCTCTTTCACATTCGGATCGCCCCATTTCCCTTCAGGATGGCGACGACCGTCCTATGCAGCACGATCGGCTTCTCAGCACCATCGTGTCTCTTTCACGTTCGGATCGCCCCATTCCCTCCAGGATGGCGACGAACGTCTTGTGCAGCACGATCAGTGCCCCAGCGCCATCGTGTCTGGCTCACGTTAGGGTCGCCCATCCCTTCCAGGATGGCGACGAACGTCTCTTATGCAGCACGTCTGCCTCTCGGCGCTGACATGCCCGGTTTATCGATGAGAGCCACCGCTTTCTATCACATCTCACATTCCTTCTCTCATACATTGCACCCATACATTACATGCATTCATGCATTCATGCATCATACCTCATACATTCATACATACACACGTGCATCGTGTTTTGACAGTACCGCGACGTCGGTTTATAGATACATGGACCTCTAAGCTTCTCCGATTGGAAAGCTCGAGTCAGAGTCCTTTACTCCCGCCTGATGCATTCAGGGGGAGTGTGCCCGTGGAGGAGCACCCTTCGCCCGACCCCGTCGGGAAGGGGGGTGCCTCACCGGCAGATTACGTTCAGGAGTGCAGACACCCACTCGTATATTATGATTATTCGAAGACGCGGTTTCCAGCAAGACAGAGGAAGAGCGCAGGCAAGAGTATACTTTCTCGAGCAGATTCGCACGCTCACTACTCAAGAAACTGGGGGACTTGTGTTGGGATATATTATCCCGGCCTATTACTGTTCAGGAGCCCAAGACATTATCCAGTACGGAGCCCGAGCAGCTAGGCCCATTTCGGCCCATCCGGCCCACTTTGACCACCAGGCCCACTTCGGCCCAGGCGGCCCATTAGGGTGGAGAGCCTCCCCTTCCCCTCCCCTATAAATACGGAGCTTAGCCTCCATGTAAAGGATCTCTTTCCTTCTTCCCCAACTCATTTACTTTCTCTAGAATAGCTTGCAAGACTCCATAAAAGGGAGCTCAAATTGTACTATGTAATGGTGAGGAGAGTCCTAATGAGAATTGAGAGGGCTTGGACATTAGCCTAAAAAGTCCCGTGGTTTTCTCCCTTTCGGGTTTCCACGTAAAAACTGAGTTGTTCATACACATTTATACATATATTTACTATATCGTGTTGGATTAAACTCAACAAGGAGGTTCTGCCCGTCCGTCAATAATTGGAGCAATTCCCGGTGGAATTTTTTGATGAAATTTTTTGAGCATCTTCTTCATTAAGTCTAGTTTACTCATACCAAATTTCAGCTAAAAATTCAACCGGGAAAGCAGTCAAATGATTTTTTGACTTAAAAATTCAAAAAGCTTGAACCGGAATATGCTCACCCGGCCCCTAACTACATAGCGTGTTTCATAAAGGCCATCAATCACATATTTTTTATGGTGTTTAATACTTTCTCCGTTCTTTTTTAGTTGCAACGGTCAACATTTCACACTTGCCAACGCACGTCTTTGATCGTAATTATATCTTAATCTCTATTTGTAAAAAAATATTTAAAAATTAGATTTTGAAAATTTGTAATGAGATGAATTGAACAATATTTTTTTAAAAAAATAATTTTCATAAAATAATAATATAAAATGTAGTCAAAATAGAACATGTGAATAGTGTAAAATTCAACATGTTGCGATTAAAATGAGGAGGATAGTATGATCAATACGGTATATTAGTTTCGTAATTTGTTAATTTTGTTTTGATCACAAACTTCTAAGTTCTTATTTTATTTTGACCACGAACTCTCCAAGTACCTGGAATAGAGTTTCACTCTCTATCTGTCAGATTATTCCAATTTACATTCTCTCATTGTGCCATCTCGTCGGTGTTGGGGGCACTCAGGGATGGAATGTCATCCTTTTTTTTGTGATATATGTGACCAAATTAAGGACTCGGCCTAACAAATAAATTCCATTTTTGGTGTCTTTTCTTTTTTATCCAACCAGACATAAAAATGGGATTAAGTAGGTTTTGGTCGCTATCAATTGATCCATTTATACTTTTTGCCTGAGTTCTGCATGTCCACAATAAAAGTGAAATGCATTTTTTAAATTCATTTTGAAAGAGTGAAAGAAAATTGTACGGAGTACATAATTTCTTTTACAAAGAAAAAGAAGTTGTTGCAGAATTAACATTGTATTGTTTTTTTTAATTATTAGGCATTTTTGACTTTTTCAGTAAAAGATTCTAGATTTTGACCTATAATATATTTACATACGAAAGTATTTATAATAAGCAAATAATATGAAAATCATCTTTGTTAAAAAACTATCATAGAAGTAAAAATTTATAATTTTCACTAAAATATACTCCGCAGTGTTAAGACTTGGGGTTCCATTCTAAAAGGTCAACCTTGATAGGAGGAGTAGTCCGTGTGTTAATATAGCACTTTGTTCATCCGAACGATTCCGGTGTGGGACATTTAACACCCCTCCTCACGACCAGACACTTCGTCTGGATCATGCAATCATTAATTTTTTTCATCGGTCCGTTTTTTTCATCCGGCCGTTTTTATAATCGTGTCATCATTTTTCCTAAGGGGCCCCACACCATGTTAAGACTTGGGGTTCCATTCTAAAAGGTTAACCTTGATAGGAGGAGTAGCTCGTGTGTTAATATAGCACTTTGTAGCTCAACTGGTAGTGAGGGAGTGCCAAAAGAGTTAGGTCCTGGGTTCGAATGAATCGAATCCCGGCAACTGCGATGAGAGGTTATTATGCTAAAAATGTCCCACACCGGAATCGTTTGGATGAACAAAGTGCTATATTAACACACGGGCTACTCCTATCAAGGTTGACCTTTTAGAATGAAACCTCAAGTCTTAACAAGCATTTATTTAAATGATTGATTAAAATGTACGTATAATCATTGATTAGAAAAATCAAAGATGATTAACTAAAAAGGCTGGGATAAACCTAGGTGGCACATGTTATCATTTCTTGAATAATTAAATGGATGCATAAATTGAACAACTTAGTTACACTTATATACTGTAATACTGCAACAACAACAACAACAAACTTGGCTTTCGAAATTTTGCTGCCGCTGGTTTGCCAAAAGCGTAGTATTGGCGGATTATAGACTTACACCGATTTAATTAGGTTATTCGGGCTAGCTTGGGGCTTATATTAAACTGTACTTCATCGACCATTGTTTAATTTAATAAATAAAACTAATAAACTACACTGAATTAAAAATAAAAGCAATTTCATGCCAATAGAATCTTTGAAGAAAAAACATCACATAAATAACGGACAGAGCTGAGGATGAGAAGACATATATATGCTGAAGCAACATGAAACTATTTTCTATAGTGTACGTATATATAAAAATGGTTTTCTGATCCTTTCATTTCAATTCTTACTTGTTAGATTTCTAATTCTTTTCAATTTTTTTTCTAACAGCGTCCATTTCAATTATATTAGTCAATCACAATAATATTTTCTTATGTACATAAAATATTTTACTTCTAATATGATTTTTTTATTATGACATGTGTGAGACATTACCTATTTTGATCATTATTATTCATTTTATCATTTTTGGCGCCATATTATCGATCTTTTGTCACTTAAAGCCCTCCTGGACACTATCCGAGTCAATTTTTCTACAATCTCCTGTTGGTTTTGACCCTGAATTTGACTAAAAGGCTAAGGTTATGATCGCGGAACAAAAATGTAGAAATTGTAGCAACATTTATGTCTTACAATTAAGTTTGTGAGATATGACATTCGTTTCTTGTATTTATGTATAGCTAGCATATGATGAGTATATTTTTACATTAAAGAATACATGAGGGGCCAAATAGGTTCTTTTGACACAAATAAATACTTCCTATAAATCTATCGGTTCTATCTATTACCACTAAAAGCAAGAAACATGGCGTTTAATTTCTTCCTCGGGTTCTCAAGAACACCTCTATATTAGGAGACCCAAGGAAGACGTACCGATCAATCCATCAAAAGTGTGAAATCTATATGCTTCGAGAATCTACACATCAATGGTTTCATCATCTTTCACAACACCAACAAAGTATGATTTCTCTTCAACCAGTTAATTAGTGTTCGTATTTAGCTTGATTCTCTAAAATTTATCATGTTAAGTGAAGTTGAATCCTTATTTGCAATTGAATTTTATTAGGAATAAATATATTAGGACCCAAAGTAAAATTGATTCTTACAAGTAACAAATGTGTGGCTGGGTAGCGAATGTGACTAGAAATTCCTTGAGTGAAACCTTGGAGCTAATGGCCTCACTGTCTTTTTGTTTTTGAAAATCAAATAACTAATTTATTATTAAGCGGTAGCAAAAATACAAGAGAATGAATAGCCTAAGGCTATAATGGGATGAGACATAGAATGGAACAGATTCAATGAATCCTTCCAGATCGCTAACCCCGCAATAATATAATCTAATCTAACAGCCTTGCTGATTTTCTTGCTACTCCTAAGAGAAATTAAAAAATTACAACTAAAAGATCCGGCTTCACCAGCCACCGGAAAGGGAGAATTGGTTTGACCGGCAACCAACAAAGGGAAATCAGTCGAGTAGAAATTTCTTGAAGCATCAGTTTGACCAGCCACCGAAAAGGAGACCCGCTTGATCATCTTCTTCTTCCCACAGTGAGGTGGTGGTTCAGGTGGTGGGCGAGTATTTAAAACATCAGAACAACAAGATTGAAAAGGCTTCACCAGATCGATTACACCGATTAGAAACGCACAGCCTGTAGACATTGCTGGGAGAATAACATATCACATGCTCACATGAAGCGGACAAAATTCTCGACCAATGAAGAAGCCGGACCAAATTCCTTGAAAATAGAAATTGAAAAAGAGCGAAAGCATAGAAAAACTTTTGACTTGATCTTTCATTGCATAGAGAATGTCTTCATCTTCCCAAATCGGATCTTGAAAAGGGTTGGGGATGGCCGCCTAGGGTTTAGGGCCGGCTCTCTATCACGCTTTGGCCTCACTGTCTTAAAAACTCTTAAGTTGAAAATGATCTTTCAGATTTTTAAAAGAAAGGGTCGGAATTGTAAAGTGGGGGTGGCAAATACAAATGAAAGGGTTGAGCCATTTAGATGCATTGGCCTTTTGAAGATGCTTTGAGCCATTTTGAAGTTTGTGACTGTGATTTAACCCACGTTCCAGCTTCAAACCCCATCTCCAATTAAGCATGCCAAACAGTGCCTTTGCCTCATTTGGACTATGAATAATTCATGTCCAAGTTGAGAGTGAGACCTGCTGTCCAATCTATAGCATGGAATATTATTTTCCTTTTTAATTGGGAACTGTTTTTATGTGAACTCAACTTTTGTGATCTGCTTTGACAGATGTCTGGTTTCATATTTTATAATGGTTGAGATTTGTTTGAGTAATTGGATTTGTTTGATCTGTTTAAGTCTGGACTGGTTTCGTCTTTTTAAGTCTGAATTTGTTTGTTCCAATCTAGTTTAGTATGAGATTGATATTAATCCAGATAAAACACCCTTAATATGCTTGAAATTAATCTGATCACACTTCACCTATACCATCACCTCTTCATATTTACTACACAATATATATAGTATAGGTATACAAAAGTGGGGGTGTTTTGGGTAGGCAAAAGGAATTCAAATTTTAAAATTTAAAGACGAACTTCGAAAACAATTGGAGGTGAGAAAAACAATGTGTTCAGCTTACAAATATACATGTGACCTTTTGAAGTCACCAAGGTGTGGAATCCATGCTATATAAACATGGAATATTGGCACTTGTGCAAGTTGGCAAGCATCCAACTTGCCACCTGCATATTTAAAATTATTTTATAAGCATACTCCGTATAAAAATAAAATGGTGGGGGTAAAATTGAACACCAGACTACCTTTATTTTCGATTTTATGTATTGTATTGGATTGTTGAGCGTATAAAGAGAAAACAAATACTCCGTACTTCGTATGAATCAGTTGTGCATTTGTAATTAGAAGAAAACAATTATATGGTGCTAAACTGCTAATGTAATACGAAGTACGTAGTTTCAAAATAGAAAGTGTTATCTAGTTACCTTACCTACGACCTTTCTTTTCTTTGGACTGAAATTTGCTGGTCTGATCCGATCTGGTCTAGTCTGGTCTAGTGACTCTAGTCTAAACTGGTCTGGTAAACGTCTGGTCTCTCTTTATTTTATAACTACGAAAGTCTGGTCTGCTCTGAGATTGAAAAAAGTCCAAAAGAAAACATCTTAATTCAAGTTCCCTCAATATTTCTGACCAATATGTTATACGGATTACGAAGTATATGTATAAGGGAGTAAGTGTCAGTTTGGTCCTCGAAGTTGCAAAAAAGGAGTCAAATAAGTCCTTATATAGAAGATTCTGTCTGGAAGTGTCATTTGAGGTGGCTCCCGGCGGAATTTTTTGATGAAATTTTTTGAGCATTTTATTCATTAAGTCTAGTTTACTCATATCAAATTTCAGATAAAAATTCAATCGGGAAGACATTGAAATGAATTCTTGAAGATAATTGTGCCGTTAAAAGCGTAGTTATCTTCAAGGATTCATTTGAATGTCTTCCCGATTGAATGTTTATCTGAAATTTGGTATGAGTAAACTAGACTTAATGAATAAGATGCTAAAAAAAATTATCAAAAAATTCCACCGAGAGCCACCTCAAATGGCATGTCCGGACATAATCTTCTCTATAAGGACTTATTTGACACTTTTTTTACAAGTTTGAGTACCAAACTGACCATTTACTCTATGTATAAGTATATTAAAGTAACGTCTTAGGATTAAAGCAACTTTTCTATCACTTAATAGTTAATACCCATACAAATCAAAGCAGAGTCCGTCTTACTGAAGAGAGGAAGCGCGGATTCCGTCTTACACTCTTACTGAAGAGAGGAAGCGTTGATTCCGCTGAACGGGAAGATGAGTCGATGAAAGGGCAATCGGATGAATTCAATCAGTATTTCAAGGGAAAAAGGTTCCTTGAACTTACAATCAAATAAGCCCTTATATAGGAGCTCTGCCCGGTCATCTCCATTTGGGGCGTAAAGCACAGTTATCTTCAAGAATTACTTTGAATGCCTTCCCGATTGAACTTTTAGATGAAATTTGCTATGAGTACACCTAGACTTAATGAATAAGATACTCAAAAAAATTCATCAAAAAATTTCACCGGGAACCGCCCCGAAGGCCCGAATGGCGACGGTCGGACAGAGCCTCCTATAGTCCTATATAAGGACTTATTTGAACTTTTTATGTAAGTTCGAGGACCTATGTGACCGTTTTCTCTTATTTCAAACCGCCAAAACCTAAACACTTTGATAGAGTATATAGACTCGGACCCCCGGGTCTCACGACTATTGGGCCCGGACAGCGGCCCACATACGCTCAGTAGATAGCATTTATCTCATTGTACACTCTATTTTATTCATGTATATCCATTAGAATAGATTAGATACCATTTATTAGCCATTTATTGGCCTTTTATTGTAACTGGGCCAGCCAGGCCCAAGCCTGGAAGCCCAGCCCTCTTTTCTCCTATAAATACTCCCTATGGGAGCCATGTAAAGGATGGTTGAATGGTTGATTGGAAATTCATTTATACATATCACTTTATCTCTCTAGCTCTCCCTTCTCTCTAGATTAAATAATCTATCAGTCTGGCTCATGTCGCTAGCTGATGCCGCTGACCGATGGTGCACACCTGGTGGAGACGATGGGCTGTTGGTGACCTCGAGTTGGGATGGACGAAGTGGCGTCCATAGCCGATGCGAGGCCCTTTGCCGAGGTGGTGCCCTGGGTACTGGTCATCACTTGGTGGAGACGGGGTTCTTTTTTCCGGAAGTGATCAACTCTACTGCCTTTATTCTGGCCGAGGAGATCTCTGGCTGAGAGGCCATCCCTTCCCCAACTAGGCCGAGGTGGCATTTTGCTTTAGCTGAGGCTTGCCGAAGGTCCCACCATCTCTTTGCTTGACTTTTTCCTTTGCTTTAGTATGTTGGGAGGACCGTGCAGCGTGCAAGTGGTCTGGCCGATGTGCAGCAACTACGGCCCAGGCTGCTATTCCTTTCCTTTTGAATGTACGTAGTACATTATAGATGACAAGAGGGGATGACTCTTTTCCCAACCGAAGGCATACTTTGTCTCATTTAGCTGAGGTGTCAATTTTTTTTGAGAATATGGGAGCTATGGTGACATATGGCCGAAGGACCAATTTGCTCCTAATTTTATTGGAGGTGTAGTGGATTGGAGGTGTGCACCATCGGTCAGCGGCATCAGCTAGCGACATGAGCCAGACTGCACCGGCCAGCAACTGCGTCGGCCGGCAATGCACTCTTCCAGCAACCGCATCGGCCGGCAACACATCGGCGCACCGCACCTGCTAAAAGGGGGGCACCGCATCGTCTGGCTTCGCATCGCCCGGCACCGCATCGTCCGATACCACATCACCCGCACCGCATCGGCCGACACCACATCTCCGGCACCGTATCGGTCGGCACCACATCGGCCGGCACCGCATCGGCCGACACCACTTCAGCCGGCACCGCATCGGCCACAACAGGGCCACCCTGTCAAGCGACCGCATCGTCCGGACCGAACCGCATCGGTAAAAACGGGACCACCCTGTCCGGACCGCAACGGCCAGAACACGACGGCCGGAACTCATCGGCCAAACCGCGGACCAGCAGCCTTGCTCCATAGCCTAGCAGCGCCTAGCACAGCCGGGTTGGTTCAGGTGGGGACATCGGGGATCTCCTCGTCCACAATGGGCTCCAGCGACGCGAGGTATCTCCTTGTCTCTGTTTCACGCTCCTCCCTGCGAACGAGCTTCCAGATGCTAAGGGGAGTGGACTAATATATGGGCCGGCTGTTTAATCTCAAAGACTCGGGCTTATTCTCAAAGAAAAGGCCCAATCAATTATATATCCCTGCTGGAATTCTAAGCAGGGCAGGCTTCGGCCCAAATACAAGTAAGTGCCACAAACTTTTCCTCCTATTTTACGCTTTTAATATGGAGCAAAATAGTTTTACCACTATATAAAAAATAAATATAGTTTTACTACTATTCCGAAAAAATAGTTTTACTACTATTCCAAAGAGAAAAAGAAAAATATAGTTTTACTAACTATTCAAAAGAAAAACAAAAATAATAATAATAATAATAATTACTACTATTATTATCACCATTGCTAGCGGATTAAAATCCCCAATTGGTGCGGGCCAAAGCCTTAGCCTTCCGAACATCTTTATTTGATGATTCGGATCATATTTGGGTCCATTGACCTACCATGGTCATCTTTATTTGATGACCCGGGCATCTAGAATGAGAGCCATCAACGGCCGCACACGACATTATGCCTAGAAGCGGTACACCTCATTCCCCTACACGCTAATTGCGTCATCCAAAAGCCGTTGCAATAAACAACGCACCTAAAGCCGTCGCAATAAACGACGCACCCAAAGCCGTTGCAATAAACAACGCACTCAAAGCCGTTGCAATAAACAACGCACCTAAAGCCGTCGCAATAAACGACGCACCCAAAGCCGTTGCAATACACAACGCACCTAAGGCCGTTGCGATCCACAACGCGCCTACAAAGCCGTTGCAATAAACAACGCACCTAAATATCGTATCGGCACAAGCGGTGAAACACCCAAATCGGCCGGCGATATGCAGGACGAAGGACCTGTGTGCATGGTCCAACGTCTTCAAACGGAGAAGCATACCGCGTCGTCCGCGCGGAAACCGCAGGACGACAGGCCTGAATTAAGGCTGAGGTTACAAAACTCCACCCGTCAGTAAAATTTCGCTCAGGACCACAAAGGGCGGCCGTCAAAAGACGATGCCTAGTCCGGTCCCTCGTCGCCGATAGACGTGGAAAGGCAAAAAAGGATGCCACTGACACACCAAGCCGAGGGCGTATTTACTCCCTCGCACTAACACACGCGAAAAGCGTAGCGGACAAAATACCGCACATGGACGAAGGGACAGTAACCCTTCGGCCATCCTAAAAAAAAAAAAAAAAAAAAAAAAGAGGGAAGCCGACGGACCGCGCACTTGCCGGCCTCGAGCAATAAAAATAAATAAATTCCCCAAACTTATTATTCATCTCAAGACCGGCTCCCAATGCCGAAGCTCTTGCTCCATCATCTCATGAACGGCCTCCCCAACGCCGTCATACTTTTATATGACGATCGGCTTCATCATCGCCTCGTCATCATTATCCGGATCGGCTCATCATCATCGCCATCCGCTCATCACCACCGGCCCCCCCGGCCTCGGCGTGATGCTTTATCTCAAGACCAGCCTCCCCAGTGCCAAGTGTCTTGAGCTAGCGACCGAGCTAGCTATTCCCTTCCGGGATAGCAACCGTCGCCTCTATATGACGATCGGCTTCATCATTGCCTCGTCATCATTATCCGGATCGGCTCATCATCATCGCCATCCGCTCATCACCACCGGCCCCCCCGGCCTCGGCGTGATGCTTTATCTCAAGACCAGCCTCCCCAGTGCCAAGTGTCTTGAGCTAGCGACCGAGCTAGCTATTCCCTTCCGGGATAGCAACCGTCGCCTCTATATGACGATCGGCTTCATCATTGCCTCGTCATCATTATCCGGATCGGCTCATCATCATCGCCATCCGCTCATCACCACCGGCCCCCCCGGCCTCGGCGTGATGCTTTATCTCAAGACCAGCCTCCCCAGTGCCAAGTGTCTTGAGCTAGCGACCGAGCTAGCTATTCCCTTCCGGGATAGCAACCGTCGCCTCTATATGACGATCGGCTTCATCATTGCCTCGTCATCATTATCCGGATCGGCTCATCATCATCGCCATCCGCTCATCACCACCGGGCCCCCCGGCCTCGGCGTGGTGCTTTATCTCAAGACCGGCCTCCCCAGCGCCAAGTGTCTTGAGCTAGCGACCGGGCTCGCCATTCCCCTCCGGGATGGCGACTATCGCTTCTACATGACGATCGGCTTCATCATCGCCTCGTCATCATTATCCGGCTCGGCTCCTCATCGCCATCCGCACATCACGACCGGCCTCCCAGCCTTGGCGTGATTATTTCTCCTCAAGACCGGCTTCTCATTGCCAAGTGTCTTGAGTTGGCAATCGGGCTCGCCGTCCCTTCCTGGATGGTGACCGTTGCCTCTACATGACGATCGGCTTCATCATCGCCTCGTCATCATTATCCGGATCGGCTCATCATCATCGCCATCCGCACATCACGACCGGCCTCCCAGCCTTGGCGTGATTATTTCTCCTCAAGACCGGCTTCTCATTGCCAAGTGTCTTGAGTTGGCAATCGGGCTCGCCGTCCCTTCCTGGATGGCGACCGTTGCCTCTATATGACGATCGGCCTTCACATCGCCTCGTCATCATATGTTGGACCGGCTCATTATCGCCGTCGTCCTTACATCGCGTCCGGCCTCTTGGCTAAGGCGTGATACCTTATCTCAAGACCGGTCTTAGTCATCCCTTCCCGGATGGCGACCGTTGCTTGGATCTTCGGATCGGCTCATCATCATCGCCATCTGCGCATCACGATCGGCCCCCCGGCCTCGACGTGATGATCTAGCTCAAGACCGGCTCCCTTAGCGCCAAGTGTCTTGAGCTAGCGACTGGGCTTGCTTTTCCCTTCCGGGATAGCAACCGTCGCCTCTACATGACGATCGGCTCATCTCCGCCTCGTCATCATCATTATTCGGATCGGCTCATCATCATCGCCATCCGCACATCACGACCGGCCTCCCAGCCTTGGTGTGATTATTCCTTCTCAAGACCGGCTTCTCATCGCCAAGCGTCTTGAGTTGGCAATCGGGCTCACCGTCCCTTCCTGGATGGTGACCGTTGCCTCTACATGACGATCGGCCTTATCATTGCCTCGTCATCATATCTCGGACATGCTCCTCAGCATCTTCGTCCTCACATCACGATCAGGCCCTTCGGCCACGACGTAATGCTTTATCTCAAGACCGGCTCCCTCAGCGCCGAGTGTCTTGATCTAGCGATTGGGCTTGCTATTCCCTTCCGGGATAGCAACCGTCGCCTCTACATGGCGATTGGCCTATCATTGCCTCGTCATCACACATTGGACCGGCTTATCATAGTCGTCATCCTCGCATCGCGGCCGGCCTCTCGGCCAAGGCGCGGTACCTTATATCAAGACTGGTCTTAGCCATTCCTTTACTGGGTGGCGACCATTGCATGGATTTTTGGGTCGGCCCCTCAGTGCCGATCATGGCAGGCCCTCGGCCTCGACGTGATCATATTCCCCAAGACCGGTCTCAGTCATTCCTTCATCGGATGGCGACCGTTGCTTGGACGTTTGGCTCAGCCTCATAGTGCTGACGACCTCGCATCACGATCGGCCCCCCGGCCTCGACGTGATGCCCTATCTCAACACCGGCTTTATCAGCGCCAAGTGTGTTGAGCTAGCGACCGGGCTCCCCATCCCTTCCTGGATGGTGACCGTCGCCTCTACATGACGACCGGCTCATCTCTGCCTTGTCATCATTATTCAGATCGGCTACCCATTATCGCCATCCTTATATCACGACCGCCGCCCCGGCCTCGGCGTGATGATCTATCTCAACACCGGCTTCATCAGCGCCGAGTGTGTTGAGCTAGCGATCAGGCTCGCCATCCCTTCCTGGATGGTGACTATCGCCCCTACATGGCGACCGGCTTATCATCGCCTCGTCATTGTTATTTTGGATCGGCTCCTTATCACGGCCGTCCTCACATCACGATCGGCCCCTAGGCCACGATGTGATGTCCTATCTCCGAGACCGGCCTCTCATTGCCGAATGTCTTGGGTTAGCGATCGGGCTCGCCATCCCCTCCTGGATGGCGACCGTCGCCTCTATATGATGATCGGCTCAGCATTGCCTCGTCATCGTATCATCAGACAGGCGTCCCACGCCCCGTCCTCATATTCAGACAGGCGTCCAACGCCTCGTCCTCATATTCAGACAGGCGTCCAACGCCTCGTCCTCATATTCAGACAGGCGTCCAACGCCTCGTCCGCATATATTCAGACAGGCGCCCAACGCCTCGTCCTCACATTCAGACAGGCGTCCAACGCCTCGTCCTCATATTCAGACAGGCGCCCAGCGCCTCATCCTCATATTCAGACAGACGTCCAACGCCTCGTCCTCATGTTCGGATCTAGCAAACATCTTGCGGTCTCCGGCTCAGAGACTAAAGGATCTCAGATCTCATCTATAGGCCCCTCGGCCACATCTTGCTCTAGCATCTTTATTTGATGACGAAGGGCTCTCATACAGGCCCATCGGCCATATATCTTGCTCCGTCATCTTTATTTGATAACGAGAAGCTCATCTATAGGCCCCTCGGCCATATACCGCTCTGTCATCTTTATTTGATGACGAAGAGCTCATCTACAGGCCCATCGGCCATATACCGCTCTGTCATCTTTATTTGATGACGAATAGCTCATCTACAGGCCCATCGGCGATATATTATTCTGTCATCTTTATTTGATGACGAAGAGCTCATCTACAGGCCCATCGGCCATATATTATTCTGTCATCTTTATTTGATGACGAAGAGCTCATCTACAGGCCCATCAGCCATATATTATTCTGTCATCTTTGTTTGATGACGAAGAGCTCATCTACAGGCCCATCAGCCACATATCGTCCTGTCATCTTTATTTGATGACGAGGAACTCATCTATAGGCCTCTGAGCCATATCTCGCCCCGTCGTCTTTATTTGACGACGTGGAGCTCTTATGCAGGCCCCTCGGCCATACATCGCCCCGTCGTCTTTATTTGACGATGTGGAGCTCTTATCCAGGCCCCTCGGCCACACATCGCCCCTTCGTCTTTATTTGACGACGTGGAGCTCTCATATATGCCTCTCGGCCACTACTCCCAGTCATCTTTATTTGATGATGTGGAGCTCACATCGGCCCATCGGCCTCATATTCTGGTCATCTTTATTTGATGAACCAGACATCATATTATGGACGGTCGCTCGACCCATCCCTTAGTCATCTTTATTTGATGACTAGGACTACTGATCATGACGAGCTACCCACATCTATGGATCGGCCTCTGCCATCCCCTCGGCAGACGGACACCGCTGCAGCTCCACCTCTAGGCCGAAGGGCTCGCACCTTTTGTTTCGTTCTGGGAGCATCCGATGTACTCTTTTTCCCTCATTAGGATTTTTTCCCACAGGGTTTTTCCTAATGAGGTTTTTAACGAGGCATCTCCCCATTGTGGATCAAAAGGTGTCAACCCTCGGCCCCCTGTTGCAGACATCATCAGACATGCATTACTCTACTCCTCTTCACCTCGTGACACTCGCCTCAAGGAGTGGGGGACTGGGAGAGCGGGGGACTTAGCGCCTTCGCTACCAAAGAAGCAGAAATTCAAAATTTTTGCAAGGATTGCCACTCGCACCGACGACATCATCATATCACATACATATTTAGCTGCCACATCGGCCAGCACATATACATAGCTCCCCGGCCTTAAGACCGGTAGTGATGGTCTCTAGCCTGCGACCTTCGGTTGAGGATTCTCTCACAGGGTTGCCTCAGTCAGGGCTCGCCAATGGGACCGGATCATCGGCATGGGAATCCGGGTGAGGCGCTTCGGCGACGACAGCAGTTTACTCACCGGACGACGACAGATCAGCACACAGTTCTACTCTCTTTCGCCTCGAGTACTCTCGACTCAGAGAGTGGGGGACTCCTGATAGAGTATATAGACTCGGACCCCCGGGTCTCACGACTATTGGGCCCGGACAGCGGCCCACATACGCTCAGTAGATAGCATTTATCTCATTGTACACTCTATTTTATTCATGTATATCCATTAGAATAGATTAGATACCATTTATTAGCCATTTATTGGCCTTTTATTGTAACTGGGCCAGCCAGGCCCAAGCCTGGAAGCCCAGCCCTCTTTTCTCCTATAAATACTCCCTATGGGAGCCATGTAAAGGATGGTTGAATGGTTGATTGGAAATTCATTTATACATATCACTTTATCTCTCTAGCTCTCCCTTCTCTCTAGATTAAATAATCTATCACACTTCGATTCTCAACTTTTGGTTTTCGACGGATTCATAGGAATCGCTATCCAGCCTATCTGCAGCCTCTGTTACCAAACGCAAAATTTCAACGATTTTATAGATCCAAAACGCCGAAGAAAATTCTTAATGTACATGAGTAGTACATAAAGTGTACACAGAACCCCTTAGTTGTCTGTATACATGTGCAATTTGTTTGAAAAGAGATAAAATTTGATGTCAAAACCTTCCTAATTTCCTGTCTACATAGGCAACTATTACTTTCCAGAATTTTTTTGTTTGTCACATGACTGCCTACTTTCCAGAATTTATATAACCAAAACGCCAACCATTGCTTTCCAGAATTTAAATACGTTGTCAGATAAAGAGCCCGTTTGGTAGCTCAAAAATTGGCTGTTTCGGCTGTTTCTACTGAAATTTATGAAGTTCTGACTGAAGTGGCTGCATTGGCTGTTTCTGCTGATTTAATAAAAAAATATTTTAAAAATATATTTTATTAATAAAATAAATAAAAAGTTATATGTAAAAATAGCTAAAATGGTCATCTACAGTAACTTCAGCCAATACAGCCAGAAAAGTAACTCCAACCTTACTTTTTCTGCTTATTACACAATTCAGTACGCGAAAACAAAAATTACATGTTTGGTGAAAAAGTTAGTTGATAAGCCTGATAAACCGAAAAACAGTGTTGCCAAACAACCTCAAAGAGTTCAACTATTAGGCAAAAACAAATCTCCCAAATAGACACTATAAACGCATGTTCTCGCCTCAAACATAGGCTTGGAGGTGGACCCGGTTCGGGCCTACCGGCCCGACCCACTACTGTGCGGGACCGGTTCGGCCCGGTGCTTCGGGCCCCAAACCGGTCTATGACCTGGTTATAGGGAAAAAGCGGGCCGGGCTCGGGTAGCTAAAATGGAGACCCGGCCCAGCCTGGCCCGGTTCGGGCCAAAATGGTTTTTTTTTTTTTTCATTTTCTTTGGGTTCGCCCTGGGTTGGGCTTGATGTTTTGGGAGGGTTTGGGGGGGTGGGGGGTCAGGGGGTAGTAAAAAAAACGGCCCGAGGGCCGAGGCCCTGCCCGAACCGGACCCGGTGGCAACCCGGGCCAGTCCCAGGCCTTCCCCCAACCAAAAAGGCCCGACCGGGCCCGACCCGGCTCCATGCCTGCTCAAACACTTTATACAATTAAGACTAATTCCTATTGAAAACAGTTGTTTTCAATGAAATTCAATTTGACATGATCTAATGGCCGAAGAAAATAAGAAATACTTGATGTGGAATTGGTGATGATCGAAGTTTGGATCGTTGAATTCTTTTCTTTTCTTGCTATGAACAAAATGAAAATGACGAGAATCGCACCTCAGAAGAAGAAATTTGTCGATACTCACCATTTGTGAATACAAATTTTAAAAGCTACACGGAACGAATGAAATACCCTAATCATACAAGAAACACTACAGTTCTCAAAGACAAACCTTACATAGTTACATATATACAATTCTTACAGGTGAACGATCCCTACAAAAAACAGTGGACGACAACAAATACAGAATGCTAAGCTAACTTGCTAGAGCGTTAAAAATTAATGGAACGTGGAAAAATGAGCTAAGAACTGCAATCACCCTAGCCTTAGCCACATCAACATTTCTTCCTGACCAAAGAATACTAAAAGTTTGGTCAGAAAAAATAAGTCCATCTCAATTCCATTCCATAAATCAAATTGCAGCGATGAAGGAGCATAGACCCCTAATGGTACATCCAGCTTGTAGGGGAGCAGCTTGTGATCTCAAGAATAAAATGGCTTGTAGGGGAGCAGCTAGCGATCTTAAGAATAAAACGAAGGCCATCTTCAATGGTTTAAGCAAAGATATCTGTTCACACAATAGCAAAATGGAGGTTACACAACAATAACAAATGCAAGGTAAAATGCACAAATGGTACCTTGACCATAGAATGAAGGTATATTTTATTATCCAAGCCCATGATGACATTTGTTATGCTTGACCAAAATCAACTGACTTGATAACCAAGAATTCCATTCGAAAAAAATGTAATTAACTAATCCACATATTTAGCATTCATCATCAGACTAGTCAAACTGGTTTGACTGGTTCAACCAGAAACCAAACATGTAAGCATGTAGCTGGCCATTGCAACAGATAAGAATAGCACCCACTCAACTTGGGATTACATCACAAATTCCGCTGATTAATTAATTACACTTTTAGGAACGTACATGAAATTCAAACTACTAAATCAGATTATTTTGGCTGGAGTTACCATCCACTAAGACAGTTGAATGTTTTTGAGGATACTGATATACTTCATTAGGAAACCAAAATGCATCAATATCAACCGTTAAGGTATCATTTATCCATTTAAACGAGAGACACTATAAAAAGATGAGATCCTCGGTGTAATTAACTGGCCAAAGTTAAGTGAACTGTAAATCACAAATTCACAATAATTATGAATATAAGTGTGAAACAGCCTAACAATTGGAATAACATATATAAAACAGTTTTGGATAGAGAACCAGTCCCTATTTTAAGTGCAGAACTCTAAACATGCAACACATAAACTGCAGGAAGAAAGAGAGAACAATAAAAGGGGTATGAACCTAACAAAGGAAATCACTTACCATTCGCAGCAACAGTTTTTTAGGCCTCCTGCCTGTCTAATCAGCGAGGAGAAGCTGAGCCAGAGGAGGAAGCGGTGAAAGGCCGTTTCACGAATGGGTGCTCCAGTAACTGAGAAGCTCTTGGACGAGCTGCTGGGTCTACTTGAAGACAGCAGTGTATAAAGTCTCTTGCATCATCTGAGAGTGCCTTGCTAACATGAGGTGGTTCACCCTTCCCAATTCTAAAAATTGCCTGCATATGCTGTTACAGGGGAGGGGGTGGACTGTGAAACAGTATTACAGAACAAACCCTAAGGTCAACCCATCCCATGTTTTGTCAAGGTGAGATATAGTAATCAGATTAGAGACATAAAAGTTCATCAATATATCATATTATTAACTCATTACTCATGTACATTTTATATACTCCCTCCATCCCGCTAAGATTGTGCTATCTTTCTTTTTGGGTCTATCCTACTAAGATTGTCCCGTACCGAATTTGGTAAAGTTTGTGTGGTTCAAATCATTCTTACTTTATCAATTCAACATCAATTACATAAATCCACTTTTATTTATAACCGCACCTCCTCCTCATGTCCCAATGATAGTGGGATGGAGGTACTAGCAAATAGTGAACTGCATATTCGTGTCTGAAATACCACACCATTATATATGCAGCCATGCCATAGTATGACTCCACTAATATTTAGCAACCATATTTTAATTGAACATAATTAACAAATCATTAGCACGGTTGTAACTGATGCTTTATAGCGCCTTCTTGAGGCATTTTTGACGAAAAATATATACTAATTCAATCATCACTAAGAACATCTACAATACAAGCATCACTACTCACAGACTGCTCTTGGAACATCCTTCCAAGAAATACAAAATGACATAAGAAAAGTAGCCCACTATTTCATGGGCAACACGACTCACAGATTGCACAACATGTTTTAAACAGATTGCACAATATGTAAAATAACAACAAGCAAATTGTCAAAGTATGAGCATCCAATATCTGAACAAATGCCATATTAAGCCATTTGAGTTATAATCAATAATTAAAAAGCTTGAAAACTAAACTATTAGATCTTGCAGTTAGTGGACATAAACGGTATGGGAACAACGGTTTGAGGACCATATATGCTTTTTACCCAATAACGAATAGCAAAACATGCAAAAGAGAGATGGATTACATTCTCTAGATTGGAATAAGGAAACTGGCGTGTAAGCATTTCCAAGACGGTGCAGCCAAGACTCCATATGTCTGCTGAAATCCCATAACCACCACCCTTCCTGTTAACGACCTGCAGCGAAAATTGATATTGATATTACAATCAACACTCAATAGTCAACACCTACCAAAGGAAATTAAGGAACACACTCCCAGTTTAAGAAACATCGAACTCTTGAATTGTGAGGTAATCATGAACACTGAAACCACCTAAAAAACTAGTAAAATAGAGGGTGGAAACTAGATTATTTTTCGTGAATAGCTGGCAAACTGTCCTACCCTTATACTCCCTCCGTCCCAATTTGATGATCCCGTATTTCCCTTCTGGGCCGTCCCAAATTGATAGTCTCATTTCCCTTTTTGGAAAGAAATATGTGGTCCACATCATTTCACCTTTTTCTACTCAAATCTCAACCACAACTTTTACCTTTTCAACCACTTCCTTAATCTTTGAGCCCAAAAGAAATGGGATCATCAAATTGGGACGGAGGGAGTACTAGTAAAATTCAGCAAGCAACTTATAAATCAAACATAATGCCAATGTAATGAGATTTACATTGCAACTAGTTCCCCTAAATTTTAAGATGTGCTAAATGCCCGACAATGACAAAGCCATCACTTGATGTTGGGTTGGGCCAGGCTAAAACTGAAAACACTTCACCCATATACAATTTAATAGAAAAGGTTTACAAAGAATCAAACGCATTGAGTAACAACAACATTTAAAGTAATTCAGATATATTTGACCTGTTAGTTTTCCCTCACTGAATTTCAATTAGGTGCTCAATGGGTCAATAGTATATGTACTAATTCAAATTGGACAAGATGTGAGGTCAGTTGGGCAATTTCAACTAACTTGATAACTTCTCACATAGTTTTGTATTGCAAGTATTAAGTACTTAAAAAGTTAGGTGCAAAAAGATTGCTAGTCCAGATTCGGAGTGTGCCAGGCCAGGTAAGGCCCCTACACAGCTCTACAGATGCCCGAATTTTCAGACATGCTAGGTGCCACACGAGCAGCATACAGGCATCTAGCAGTGTTTGCAACAGAGCATAATTCGAATATGATATTTACTCCAGAATAAGCAACAAATCTTAAAGAAAACTGATAATG